ACACGCACATGGACACGCACATGGACACGCACATGGACACACACATGGACACACACATGGACACACACATGGACACGCACATGGACATGCACATGGACACGCAGACACACACACAAGCACGGATACAAGCACAGACACAAAAGCACGGACACGCAAAAGGACACACACACACATGGACACATGTACGGACACACACACAGGATCTGTACTGCATCTCTTCTCTCCCTTTACACCTCTGCTGTGTCTGAGCTACTTTTCTGTCTCATCTTTTGTCACTCTCCAGAGAGCTCCAGGCATCTGGGCAGGGCTCACTGAATGCTCCATGTTTAGATGAAGCATATGTTCCATGTTATATTTGGCAATATTCAATGCACAGAACATTACCGCCCACATACTAATGCTGTTAGTCCGGCATCTCATGCCCAACATTCTTCACTGAGAGACTTCTTCTAACACAGTGTCCAGTGTAACACACTCACTGACTCTGGCATCTACAGTGGCACCACTTACTCACTACAGATGGTGCTTTACCTCACACTGCTCTAAAGGTGTCTCTGATTTGGAAATGAAGTCAGTGTGCAACTATGTTTTAAAACAAACAAATATATTGTTTTATCAACAAAGTCTCTGTGGATTGCAATATAGAATGGTATGATATATGCTGTGCATTTACATTTTTAGAAACCCAAGGAATGGTTAAATTAGCCTAACAGCACTAATACAAGAAGCACACTTGATTAGCTGTGTGGTGAAGGCTATTTGTGCAGGACTATTCAACTTTTAAGACATCATAAACATGATTAAAACTCATAATGACCCCCAAACCAAAATTACATTTCTGCATAGTTTAAAGTAATTATGTTAATCAACAGCTGCAGCTATAGGTCCCTGACTCTCATTAGGCATTTGACAGCATCTGAAGAGATTACGGAAAAGAGCAGTACAAAGAACTGTAGACGCCCTGGGCTGTGCCTTCTCATTGGCCATAATCCGTAGCCCAGGGACAGGCTCAAGAGCAGCAGAGAGATGGAGAGGAGGCAGGTCAAGTAATCCACCAGGCCATTAAAGAGTCAATCAGCATCCACACTCACAGAGGTGAGGAGTGGACGGGGACTGACAACAGAGAGACTGCAATATGTCAGTGAAATCTGAGCTGTACACAAAGCTTTGGTTTGATACATTATTCAAAGGGTTGCATATGTCACAGGCCTGCAGAACAAGTGATGGGGACACAGACATGTATGTTTAAATGTTTAAATAATCCTTTGTTTTCAAAATGGTGCTGCTGTAAAAAGATTTCAGTATTTCCACTTCGTGATCTTATGCCAATGATAAAACCAGGAGACATTTTCTTTTGTCTACAGTAACTCCATGATATAAAATGCATTAAATGTGGAAAGCAAACTCTATTGTGAATCAATAATTCAGACCTTTCCATCGAAACGTCAGCAAAAACTGGCCCACTCTAATGCAGCCTCTGCCTTTGGAGTGTGGAAAATTCCAGTGCTCCAGTGGATTCTGGTTAAACTGTTTCTTGGCTTAAAACATGCCTGTAATCAGAATGTAAACACTCCATTTGGTATAATCAAAATCATCTTCAAGCTCTGATTCCAATCGTCCTGAGTTTGTGTTTGAATTGAGATGGATACGTAAAGCTTATGGCACAACAAACAAAGTAAGGAGGCACTGTGCCTTTTCCTCTCCTGAACCCTGTCATTACAGCTCCAGCTATTTATAAAACTCATGAATTCAGCTTCACCGCGTGGAAAGAGCCCAGTTACCAAGGAGTTTGTGGTATTGATGACTTCAAACCCTCTCTGCCCTCCCCCTTGTTTTCACTTTACTCAGTCTGTAGCTACTAGCCGGTATCTAGCTCAGCCACTCACTGTAAAATTTGGGTCATTGGAAATCCAAATCGTAAGTTGTCAAATTTATACAAACAATAGTTTTAATAAAATATAATTCATTAAATGGGTAACTAACCACCAACTAATAACTGACAGATGCATTGCTGCATTCAACATCGGGTCTTACAAAGGGGTTGTCAATGAAACTACATGTGGTTGCAAATGTTCAGTAAAAGATTTCAGAATATTTGTCACTGAAATGAGGATTGTGCTGTGTCAACGAGTTAAGCAACAAAACTGCATGAATGAGCCACCTGAAGAAAATTATTTTCATCCAAGTAAATGGTGTCAGAGATTATAACTTGACAATTGAAAAAACATGTCTCAGTATGCACTCCCTGTGAAAGCTGTACACAGGAGTAGCACTTGGCGAAGCTTGTCTAAAAAGGAGTCCATACAAAAGCTTGTGTCCTCCTTCTGACTCTTTATAACACAATAATCTCCTCCTCCAGTTTCACAAACCTACCCAACTCGATTTTCAGTCTGTGCGATATTATTATGGGTAAGGCCAAAACACAGCATCACTGAGTCTCCCCTGGTTCATCTTTTAATACAGAGACTACAATAGTAACTTCCTTGATGCATTCTCTCTGCTAAATAAAAACACAAGCTACTACATGTCTGCCCGCTGCTGCCAAACCCATGGCAACAAGCCAGTCACTGTACATCTGCATTAGAGAAAAGACCGAATAGAACCAAAACACTACAATGGAATCATAAGTTTGTGTATTTAAAGGTGTTTCTTAATGAATTAATTTCTGGGGTTTGGTATTACAATATAACATACAGCACATAGATCATTATTGCACATTTTGTTCATTGCAAACCCTAAAATTACATAATAATAGAAACCGGTCAATTGACTTCCTGTTCAAAACTGAAAGGCGCCACCACTCTATACTTGCAACTTGTAAGCAGTTGCAAGTTTTTATTAAAAATGGTTGTGTGACATTACTGAACCATACATGATCGAGAATATGAATTATTTGTAATAATCGTAAGTAGAAAGCAATGGGTAGAGATAGGGGATAGGTGAAATCTTATGAGCACTCATGCCTCACATTCAGGCTAACACAGGGTTACTCAAACATGCATGAATCAATCAAAATACAACTTTGAGTAATCTAATGATGAGGAAGCACTGTATTACATGATATATTCCCTTTAATGTATTATTACTATACTCTTAGGCATTCATGTAGTCATTGTACAGAGCAGTCTCCGCACAGGTTACGCCTGCTTAGGGCACTCTTCCAGCCACACATAGAAACAACATTACATTGTCCAGGGACTCAATATAAATGACTTAGCATCAGCAGCCGTACAGTAAAGCTATACTCTCCGAATGTCCTTGACCTACATACAGTATGGCAAAAACAAAACCTTACATTAAACCAACAGAAACAGCAAGAACCGGTACCGTCTTACTTGTTGTTTTGTACATTTAACAAACATAAAAATAACACAAATACAATATGGCTTACATCTTGTCATAGAATACAAACCTTGGATAATCATTTGCCGAGAGACCTCCAAGAAAGCCCTGCCACGACTGTGATTGGATCAATTATCTTTTCATCTCATTCCACACAATTGCATCAAGCAGGATGTGCAGACCAATTACAAGGTACGGCCGATCTGAATATGTGGTCATAGGGTCCCCTCCCCCTCCATTCTGCAGTCCACTGTCAGCTTCACTGGTTTGCACAATACAAAACGATCACAGAAGACCATATGTCTTTTGGTTTTTCCAAGTCAAAATGTATAATCTACGACTAGGCTTTGGCATAAATGTGATAGCAATTTCCTATTTCTTTGTCTTCTTTCCAATTGCTTTCAAAGATGACATTATAAAACAGATTCAGTGAGATTATATTTTTGATTGTCGCTGTTGATAATATCTGCAATATAGCACATTTAATAATTTCAGATTTGCTTTTATCCCCTTGTATGGGATTAGGTTCATAATTAGATTCTGAATATGACAGATGGGGCGGGGGCTTTATATGTGACAAAAAAGATGATATCTGATTCATAACAGGGACAGTGACAGACCAGACACCACAACTAACAGTTCTGTAGAAGTCTTGTGGGTTAGAGGAATAAATTTACGTCAGAGGACAGCAAGCATGTGGGTAACCATTGCCATAGAGTTGCCCGAGTGACAGACAGAAGTTTAAAATACAGGCCTCAAGCAATAGGCAGCCCAGTTTAAATCTGTGTATCTGGGGAATACTAATGAGTAAATCTATGTGATTTGTACTTTAACCAAATACAAAATGGGTAGAAGAGGGTAGAAGAAAAGACAAAAACAGTATAAACCAAATCGGGAATTTGGGTCTTTTTGGTTCATTGTTATTTAACATTACTGTAATGACGAATAACAGGAAGAGCTGACAGAGGAACTCTCCAAATAAAACAAGACTTGCAAAACATGTAAGGTTTTTTAAAGGAAAGCTGCAGACAGTTCAGCAGCGTTACCTTTCTACAAACATTGCAATCCTTTGTCACTAAAACCCTCCAATCATAGTGTTTCCAGGCAGAAATTGGAGCCATGAATTGCCTATAATAACAGTTTTAACATAGGGGTGATTTTCAGAGATGCTAGGCTATTCTGGTTAATTTTTAGTTCAACAAAGCAAGTGTATTTTGCAGGGGCATGACTATGAGTGCTTTACTTCCAAATTCAATGGCCACACCAAAACAACAACCTATTGACATGTATGTTGATCACATTGTACTGCAGGCCCGAGGACATAGCATTGTAACAAGTCAGCCTACATTCTCCGGTCAGTCACGCTGGTGTAAAACTAGTAATTTCTCCGTAGCTAAACGAGCAATTATCAGTTTTTGAGCACTCCCTTTGAATTATACAGACAGTTTGTACCACACAACAAGGAACCATTGAACTAGCGCAATAACGCGGCGGTGTGGCTATGCGTTTTGATTACTTCCCTTTGAAACACGTTCATATAACCAAACACAAAATAATGAGTAAAAACATATCGAATTAACTAAACAGATTAAGGTCTTGTCATTTTCATTTGATAACTATCCCGCTGAGAATAAGAGGAGAGGTAGTAGTGGATGTACCTTTCCCGGTAGTTTTTCTCATTGTCTTAGTGTAGCTCTCTTCTGCATTCCCTCCTGCTCGATTGAAGAAAATAAAATGTCCTTAAAATATGTTCTGTCCCCTCTTTCTCCGGTAAAACAAATGTAGAGCTGGAAATAAATCAGGCTAGCACCGGAGGTAGACAAAGCTTGGAGTCACACGCCTGGATCACAAACCAATAAAAATGCACGGCATAAAAGAGTTTCCGAGCAAAGAGAAAAGTATTCAGTAAATAAAATGATATCCTAGCATGAAAACCCCTCATGAATCCATCGTTTTCCAAAACAGATGAAGTTTTGACCGGCTAACACGGCTAGCCAGCGCTACTTCCTTTCTCTGAGCCCAAATAACAGCAGCAGCTCTGCGCGGAGAAAAAAAAAGTTGAGGAAAAAAGGCACAACCAGATTCAATGAAGGCACCCATAAAGGCATCCTGTTGCTTCATACCATTTGTTACTGCACAGCGCCACCTAGAGTATCATCCTGGAGTTGCGACTATATATATATATATATAGAGAGAGAGAGAGAGAGAGAGAGAGAGAGAGAGAGAGAGAGAGAGAGAGAGAGAGAGAGAGAGAGAGACGGTAAGGCGCTAAGAGCAAAGGAAGAAGCACTGACTTATTTTCACCTCAAGACGGCAGTGTCCCCTAGGTTAATAACCGCCGCCGAAGGTTCGCAGTTAACGCGACATAAATCAAAAAGTAAAGACATTTTCACGATAATTTGGTGTATTTTAGTAGGTTACGCGTTTACAGTGCTCAAACGCAAAGATAAATATCGACACACACTATACATTATTAACTTTCAAGCCACGTGGCTTTTAATTGCTTGATATTATGTTATAATGTAGCTTCCTAATCAGAAACATACCTGGAGTCGTGTTTTGTTTCATTTACACACGTTTAACACACAAACATCGAGTTCTTTTCTCAAACAGAAATCACTCCACCTTGTGATGTCAGGTTGTAATACAGGAAGTGCTCCACTGTCTTTTTAACTTCCATACACCTGGATGATTTCCCCCCGGAATTGCCAACAAATGGTAACGGTAGTTGTTAATTTTAAAACTACCACTTCATGACATCACAAGGTGGAACAGATCATTTTGAGCCTTAGAGACAGCCTAACAATAATTATTGTTTCCTTTAGAGGATTACATTTTAGAGAAAATAGTTTTTAAACAATTTAATGATTTTATGAGCTCCAGCAATATTTTTGAAATATATCAATCTGGTTTTAGAGTTCAGTTTGTTATTATTATTATTATTATTATTATTATTATTATTATTATTATTATTATTATTATTATTATTATTAGGGGTGTCAAATTATCGCGTTAATTGCGATTAATTAATTACAGTCATATTTAGCGCGTTATGTTTTTTAATCGCGTTAATCTCATTTTTAATATCTAACTTTAGTGTTTCTGTATGTGAGTTTCTTTATTATAAAACCTGTTTTTATGTGTTGTTGGGACAACAACACACACACACAGACACAAAACACATTTATAATTTTTTTTATTTCGGTAATTCCACTCATTGCCGGAAACCCCCACAAAACACGCGCAGTAACAGCGTAAGTAAACGTCATGTTAACGTTGGCGGCGTCAGTCGCACAATGGACGAGGTCGAAGAGCCAGTAGAACAGAGTCAGCAGCGCACAGGTAAAAACACATTCGTGTCTTGGAAATTATTCTCCCGACGTGAAATATAAAAGAAAATAACAAATATAATATCGCCTGAAAACAACCTGCATAGGCTCATGATCTCTGCACTACTGTCCTATAGTGACCTGCCACATGAGGGGACACGCACACAAACACACACAAACACACACACACAAACAAACACACACCTTCATCATCGTCATTACCCTGAGAACGCGCGGACCATGTTTCCTTCCGTAGTTACTGCGCGGACATCGCTGTCCTCCCGTGAGCCGCGTGTGGATCGTGTTTTCTCGCGTACGCGGCGTAAACCGCGCTTCCTCCTGTGCGCCTCTAAACCAGAACTAACACCAAGACTAAAACCAGATCTAAACCAAGACTAAACCAGGACTAAAACCAGAACTAAAACCAGGTCTAAACCAGGTCTAAACCAGAACTAAAACCAGAACTAAACCAGGACTAAACCAGGACTAAACCAGGACTAACACCAGGACTAACACCAGGACTAACACCAGGTACTAACACCAGGATTAATCCTTTCCAGGACTAAACTAGGACTAAACTAGGTCTAAACCCAGTGATCTCATATATAAAGCATTTCTCTATCAATAATATTTTTAATATGGTTAAGGAAAGACTGGACTTTTTATTGTCTTTAAGTAGACAAAAGTTATTATGTTCAGATTTCCTCGTCTTTGGTACTTTACAACAAACAGTTTCTTATTCATGGAGACTTGGGCTCAACAGCCAATTTGGAGAGATTTGTTAAACAATAAATGACTTTATAAAGTCACTTTTTTAAATCTATATTAGTCTTTTGATCTGCCACAATAATGTAATAATGAATTTAAATGAAAATACCTCAAATTGAAGGCTTTTCTCAGCAATTTTTAGGTGAGATTAAAATGAGATTAATGAGATTAATTAATTACAGATCATAATTAATTAATCTCTCAATTTTTTTAATCGCATGACAGCACTAATTATTATTATTATTATTATATTTTTTTTTTATTTGTTGTTTTTAATTAAATTACCATTACTATTTAATTTAGTCTCTCCATCTGTTTTTAGCTCTCCATCTGTATTTTTACTATAACCCTTAGGAGCTTTATGTCTGTGTTGTATTGTTGTATATATGCATGAAACAATGGGGTGGGGTGTTTGCTGTTGTTTTTAATATTGTCATTTTTCTGTTGATTGTGAAGCACTTTGTGCTACATTTCAAATGTATGAAAAGTGCTATACAAATAGATTGATTGATTGATACATGTGTGATAATACAAATGAAACAAAACACAACTCCAGGTGTGTTTTTGATGAAGTAACTAATTCTAACATCTTAAAGTAGGGTGACCAGACTCTTTTTTCTTGGACATGTCCTCCTTTTGGGGGGGGATTAATGCTTTGACATTCCACAATATGGCAAAAAACATAGTATCTATCTACCTGGAGACAAGCTTTACATGGCCAGGATACTGGTCATATCTGGGGAGTGCTAACCCTGTTCACAGTAAAATGCATAATTAATGCATGATAGATAAGTTTAATGCCATCTCCATGGAGACAAGTATGTGACCTACTTTCCACCAGAAAAGTTACACACGGCAACTTTATCTAGTTTCGTCTACTACAACACTCAGAGTTGGTTTTGTTTATCGTTTTTGTGGTGAGGTTATTTTTCAAAGGGCGTTTTTAACAGCTGTGAGTGGTTTTGACACTTGTGGTTGTATTTCATACCTTCATGGGTTTGTTTATAACTCCATACTAACTTATAGAAAGCAACTCTGATGTGTGCCTATTGAGGCCCCTTTCAGGAAAGAAAAGCAGAAGTTATTTTTCAAACTGCGCTATATTTGCTTACACAGGGTGCCACTCTTTATTATACTATCGAAAGTCGGTCAATTATCGCATCATTGCACTTTGCACCTTGAGCATTAAATTCTTTTCACCACAACATTATTGCTGGTAAACAGACATAATATTGCTAAAAACAATTATAATAAAATAAAATATGGCCTAATTATACTAATTGAAAAAAAAAGTGTGAGATAAATATGTACGTCAAATTGCAGTGAGCAATTGTCTCCAAAACTGTAACCAAATTAAGTAGATAAACCAGCAACATGCAAAGGAAAGGCTGACCTATACTGTCCAATGCATTCAAATGACTAAAGTAATAAAATATTAATCTTTGTTCTGACAGAAAGCTGCCAAAATATGTAATACATTTTGTGGCTATTGAGTGATCAAAACGTGACCAGTAATAAATTAGCAGTTGTCTGTTTGACATAAGGCCTGGTTATTTAGTTCAAGCATGCTGTTTTGTATATATTCCGCTAAATTTCTTTGTATCATTAACACGTTTGAGTAACCCTTTATTATTCCTCTGTCTACATCTCCAAAGCTCAAAATGCTCTATTAGACCTTGTGATATCACGATGAAGCAGTAGTTTTCAAGTTAACAGCCCCTTTTTCCTTTTGTTCATTATAGACCAGAAATTCCAAAGGCTGAAATTAAATAAATTATTCTAGTGAAGGTGTCTGAAACTTAAAAACACAGTGGAGCACATCCTGTATTACCACATGACAAAACACAACTCCAGGTATGTTTGTGATGAGGAAACAACATTCTAAAATAGTGTAATATGGGCCCTTTAATTTGTTACCTGCAAAGTGTGTTACTTGTTTTGATTTTGCTTACACCTGAGTGTTTTCCCTGTGGGTTGTGAGCGCTCAAGGCGGACCTGAAAGTGGTTGTGCCCTCTGCTGTGGTTAAGTCAATATGGTGTGTGGTTACATGCAGTTGGAACTCAAAAGCACCACAATATTCTACTCTGATAGTTACAGTGTAGGGCCTTGATGGAGGCTCAGGCATCATAACTGTAATGAGAGCTGCAAAATCCTTTATTCTCCTGCAGGGAAATCTGTTTACTTGTTTAACTTTCAACAAAAATCTAATTATGCTAGTGTAACTTTTGTTAAATCACATTACAGCTCCATGGCACACTCAAAGACATGCAAGAATTGTTGCAACATTCTCAAAAACATTGTCTCAACATTTACAACTGTACTAGAGTTCAGCACATTTTGAAAGATTTCCCGTATTATGAGCATCTTGAGAAATGCAATTGGATGTGCTGTAATACAGAAATATCATCATCACAAAATTATCATTATCTTATATATTCTTTACCCGTAGCTTCCAATCTTTTTACCTCTAAACTTTGTCTCATACTTAAAATAACTCTAACTGGGTAATAGGGAAGTCACTTTACTATAGTAGGAGTATATTGTCAATTTTTGCTTTTATCTTCAAAAACACAAGTGTTCACAATGTATATATATTAATTTTAAAAATTACACTGTTTCAAATAACCCCTCTGAAAGTGCTTGTGCACACCCAGAGTTCTTTGTGAATGAATTTAATTAAAAATGCAGAATTTAAGGCACATTTTTCTAACACTTTAAACTTGCTTTGAAACAGTCTCAGGTACTTTACAGTATGTCAGAAACGCTCTTGCATCTTGTGAGGGTGTGAGAATTTTGGGTGTGGTACATGTAACAATCTAATTTCTTCGTCTACTTCCCCATCAGCAAAAACCCAAGTCAGCGACAATCTGTTTTACACTCAATCATCATCCCCTCAGAGACCAGGGTGAGTACCTATACTGCGCACACCTTAACAAGGCACTTAAAATTACTTTCATTATTACATAATTAGACTAATGCTACTACTAATAATGAGATATTTGGATGTTTGTTAGTACGGTAATATTTGCAGCCTTTTTGTTATTTATTGTGAATTTTAAATAATTAGACAACAATTTATGTATTTTCATTTTGAGTGTTACTTTTAATGTTTTTTTTCTATTTTTTTTGCAATATTTGCTATTTTTGCATGTTATTCAGTACAATGATTTGATTTATTTTGTGGTGATTTAAATGCCCCCTCCAGCTGTTCCTCGTGCTTAGCTCAGCACAATAGGCACTTTAAATTTTAAACATACAGCTACAGTACAATACTAAACATGAAGTATACTTTTTATAAACTTGTAACTTTTTGCACAAATTTCCAAATTTCAATTACTTTCTTAATTCACAATTGCTTTCTTAATTTTATGTTTAATATTTTCTCTCGTAACAGCTGAGACTGAAAATTGAGAGATTTTGAACTGTGCATAAAGTTTAATAATTTTTTTACACTTTGTCCAGCTATTTACACTAAAATTTTAGTAGCATGTTCAGTTTAGTTTTTTTTTTTTTTTTTTTTTTTTTTTTCTATTGTTTTTTAAGGTTTATTTTAAGACCTTATCATTATTCTAATGCTTTCCTGCCCCCTCTATTTTGCAGGTGTGTTGTCCAAAGAGCTACAGTGCTTAGTGCTATGAAAGCCTGATTCATTACAGGAGTTTCACACTAAGTCCAGCTTTTCGCCTCCACCCCCCTCCACCACAGCATCGGACTCCAACCAGCACCACCTCCCAACATGTCTGACCCCTTCACCTCCCCCTCCTCCTGCCCCCACATGTACCACTCTCATCTGGGCCATGGCACATCCAACAGCACCACTTTTGGACTGAACCATGTAATCCTCTGCCACTATAACCACACTGGCCGCCTTCAGAACCGAACCATCTCTAGCTCCTCCAGCAGCATCAGTGTGTCGGTGCTAGTCTTCCTCTCCATCAGCATCTTCATCATTTTGGAGAACTTGCTGGTGCTTATTGCTGTCCTTACCAGGATTCGCAATAGTCGGCGATGGGTGTATGTGTGCATTGCTAATATTACTCTGTCCGACTTGCTCACTGGTGCTGCCTACTTGGTCAATATCTGCATGTCCGGTAACCAGACTTTTCGGCTCACTCCTGCCCTCTGGCTCTTCAGGGAGGGCACACTTTTTGTTGCCTTGGCAGCATCAATATTCAGTCTTCTGCTAATTGCCATAGAGCGCTACACAACCATGATGAGGCCCCTCTCACAAAATCCACCAGGACATCCTCCTACCGCATCTATGGTTTGGTAGCGCTCTGCTGGATGCTGGCTTTAATGATTGGCTTTCTTCCTTTGCTTGGATGGAACTGTGTTTGCAGTCTGGACAAATGCTCCACCCTCCTCCCTCTTTACTCTAAATCATACATCTTATTCTCTCTCATCATCTTCTTCCTCATCCTCTTGACAATTGGAGTACTGTACGGTGCCATCTACTGCCATGTGCACAAAACTACCCAGCTCAGCCCTCTAAGAAGTCCCAAGCGCTCCATAGCTTTGTTGAAAACAGTGATCACCATCGTCGGGGTGTTCTTGCTGTGCTGGGGACCTCTATTCATGCTCCTTCTGGTGGACTTCTTCTGTGAAACTCGCCAGTGTATTCTGCTCTTCAAAGCTGACTTCTTCATCTCTCTTGCTGTATTGAACTCAGGTCTCAATCCCATTATATACGCTCTAGGCAGCAGTGACATGAGGAGAGCCATAGCTGATCTGCTGTGCTGTTGCTGCGTGACGATGGGTCTCTGTAATACAGAGAAGTTCAAATCCAAAGACACCAGTAGCACATCAGAGAGCAGGAGGGACAGTCTTAGGAACAGCTTCAGCAAGATCAGGAATCTCAGCGTGGTGTCTCCTCCGTCCACTCCCAAAAAGAATAAAAAGAAAGACAGAAAGGGCAGGCGGAGCTCCACCACCACCTGCCTGTCAGTTTCAAGTGGTTAGACCGCAAGTCTCTCCTCCCAAACTGTCATCACCTCTAACGGTTTCCTGTTCATTGATACTATGAAACTATTGCACTGGAAAATATGTATAAATGAACATATTTGTAGATTCATATTATTGTATATTATATTTTTTATATTTTTGTAATGTAAATATACAGAAGTTGTATAAAAAAACTGAGATGAAGCAATGTCCACAAATAAAATATATACAACTGTACTTTTCACAACTGATTTATGTGATGATCTCACACTCTCACACTGGGGAAAAGAGACTTACTGTATTTCCTTATTGATTGACTGGACTCACCTGCTATGTGAATAGATAGCTGCAATTTAAAGGTGCACTATGTATTATTTCAGGTGGAGGATCTGCCACCTGCTTGTTTAATGCCCTTCTGTGGATCAGTCTATGCAAAGAATCTCATCTCATGCACCATAAAAGCTACATCTTTTAACAATATTAATTTTAACTGCTCCCTATCTATATTAAATATTACTGGATTATAGAATATTGTGATATCATCTGAAACCCAGTAATAGTCACTTCTGCATTTATCCTTGAACATTGCTGAAAACTTTTTGCCATGCTGTCATTGCAGAAGACTTTAAAATCGTTTCTTATCCAGCAGAGGGTGATATAATTCTGAATATGTTCTCTTTTGGGGGAAAATGTACCAAAACGCACACTTTCTGCCACTCTCTCTACCTCTCTGTCTCTTGCTCAGTGCTCCTATCTGACAGAGTGAGTGATGGGAGCTCAGTGCTGTGGGACTGCAGCCCTGAGGCGCACCCAGCCACGGCTAATTGATAAATTCATTACGACTGTCTGGCAAATTACAGGAGCAGATCAGGTTCAACAGATACAGTGCTAGTACTAACAGACTGGAAATGTGCACAGATTACTCCATCCAAGGATTACATCGCAAACCAGTGAGCAATAAATAAAACGCAGGGAGGGTAGGGGTCTAAACTTGGAACTAAATGAGACTAGGACTAAACCAAGGCTAGAAGAGGACTAAATCTATTCAGCATTGGCACTCCAACTGGACTCAAACCAAGACCAAACAAAGATAAATATGAACTTATCCCTACTGATATTTTGCAGTTATATCTCACTGGGGGTGTTTTAAACAACACACAACTTAACAAACTCAGTCCAAAACTTTTAAGATGGTCTGAAAACTCAAGAAAAAAAAATGCTAATTGATTTAACATTTGTTTCAATTCTACATTTAGTCAAGGGGTAACTGTAAGGAAGTTGAAACAGTTGCTGCTTTTGTAAGTACTATTACCATTCTACACTATTACTGAGTCATCTAATACTATCACTATTTCTAAAACAACTCGACTACTATCAAGTATTACTCCTGCGTCTAAAACTAATATTAGTGCTGCTATCAAATCTCTGAAATCTCAAAATCTTTGAAATATTACAGTTTTATTAAGATTCATTTGAGGTCATTGAGGGTGTACATTGTAAAGCAGGTTAAGACAAGTTTCATTATGACTTATGTAGTTCACCATTTTACTAACTGCTTTTGCTATCCTTCCTAACATGAGTCAGTGCATAAGTTTAGTAAACGGTCACTTAAAATTTATGCTTCACAAACTCCTGAAAGCACAAATGATCTAAAAATATGTGATTTAGTACTTAGAGTCACAATAAAGCTGTCTGTAATTTACAGTCCCATTACCCTGCTCCTCCTCTGAAAATTTTCTTGTTACTGCAGGTTCTGATGAGGCCTGAGCTTTGGCTGAGGTGCAGAGAGGAACTTCCCATTTATCCTGTTACCAATGGCGACCACCCACAGACCCAGCAGCCCCAGTCTATGTGAGTGTGACAGATGCAGCTTCTAATGACTGTCTAAACATATATTTGAACATGGCTTAACTTCAGGTACAAACGTGTCTTCAAAATCACATACATCTTCTGTTTTTCGTGAGGTTAAATTTTTGTTATGATATATGCCATACATTTTCAAGTAACTACTTTTTGGCACATCATGGTTTCACTGCTGGTTGCAGTAGTTGTGGGCTAATTTCACATCCTTAAGTTTTATGTGCTCTAATTTTACCTGCGCTCGATTTGTGTATTGGACCAAATATGTTGAGGATGGACTATGTGGAAAACAGGCTTATAAACAAACATTCTAGTGTGTTTATGGGTTTTCTGAGGTTGACTCTTTCCTGTTTTTTGCGGCCCTAGAAACCAAACAAGTAGTTTTTGGTCCCATTTTATCACAGTTGTTCTCATGAATTCCTACATCCTACAGCTAAGAGCAGGGTAAACTCTGAGTCTTGGCCTCACTCCAGCTCTGGTGCCAGATGAAAAAGCAACAGTAAATTCCTGGCTTTATTAGCTTAACGCTCACAGACATTTGTTGCATTATATTTGACATGTCAGGAGCTGATGAGCAGGCCGCGCTGCTCCCCTACAACAACAGCTCTAAATGAGCTGCGATGGGTTAATGATGGTTGCGTGCAGACGTGCCTGTGCCCCCAGTAATTACTGTGCTGGCTTTGCCTGCAGGTGTGCAGCAGACACCTAATCATGTGTCTGAGCAGAGAGAGGATACTATTAGCCCTGTGCAAATCCATAGAGCTCATATCACTTATTTAAACTTTCAGAATCCTTTTCTATGTTTTTTCAATTTATTTCTATGAATATGTATAATTCTGTAGTTGTGTTGTGTAGTTGTGCAGAAAGAATTAATTACTTATCCTCCCATAAAGATAAATCCCTCAGAAACCACTTCAAAGTTCAGAGCTTGTGAATGAGAGAGCACCTGCCACAATACAGGCTCCTAAACCATTCATTTATAAAGGGCTTAAGCTATAGGCCACATCACTCATCCAGCCTGGATTCACCCTTTTCACTGAAGTGGCACAGAGTAAGACAAGCGTAAAATCCAGATACATTTCTTATTTGTTTTATAAGGTCTGCTCCTTTGTCTCAATATGTCTGCAAATAGGAAATACAGGTCAGTTATGAACACACAAGTCAGACAGTTTTATTTAGCCATTTATTGTTAGTTATTACAAGATGAACAATTATCATACATTATAAATACTACTGACTTGGATCTGATTTCATAATGCATTTAAACATGTCCAAACACAACAATAAATCTTTAGCAATAAGACATTAAAACTAGAAATAAAGCAGGCATGTATGTAATATTTAAACTGCACAAAGAAGTTACAAATGAGCACGTCTGAGAGCGTGCATTGACTGAGACAAGTGGCTTTGTATGTGGAGAGACAGATTATCATTCTTGTCATGCTGACATGGTCATGCACAGACAGGTCACATGACAGTGGGAACAAACCATAGAAGAAGAAAAGATGCCAGGACGTCCTGTTCTGTTTGTGCACCTGTATTATGACAATACACAGACGTACTATGACGGCCTAATAAAAGACAATAGAAGGCAATATACGTCATCTTGATATAAAACTTTTTTAACCAGAACCAGTACAGTAACAAAAGCTCAAATTTAAGCATTACTACTAACTACTATATACTACTACTAATTTTCCCATCCCATCCATCCCATTATGAACTCCTCATAAAAGATCCTAAAGCACTGACTACAAAATTCTTGCCATGCTTTTAGTAATTATCTTGGAATTCCACCAGACTTTGCCATAACTGAAAAACATTGACATGTCCTCCTATGTGCCTGTATGTGCAGCTGTCACTGTCAACCATGGATCTATGGAAATAACACTGTCAACATACAGTATGTCAATCCTTGCATTCATATTACACACAATAGAAACCTTTGTTCAACTGAAGATATGAAAATATTGTCATCCAGTCCCATCTACATGGTTTCCATTATGGATAGCTGATTAGAACAATGTAATAGACAACTGTATGTAATGTACACAAACTTTAATATCACTATACAAAACACTTCCCTCTATTTGTTCTTGTCCACTGCACCTGAGAGCCCTTTCTGCCTACCTGCCCTTAAGTGAACTGTGCAGGTCTTTTGTTTTTTCTCCTTTGGCATCGTCACAATTGCTAGTATTTATTGTCCCCCTCTATGACCAAAGGGTTTGTCAGGCTCTGTGCTGGGGTCATCATGGTGAAGACAATTGCTGAATATCTCTCTGAATATCCACTCTTCACCTTAATTTTAAGATGCTTTTTACCAACAAAAAATACTACAGACATCATATGGGGATAATTTAAGGCCTGTGATTACAATAGATAGGTAATGAGTAACATTTATCTCTCTAACACAACAAACTACTGTCTAACTGACCCTTGAACCAGGTGATTGGAGGCTCCTCACTGTGCAATAGCCGACTGCTGGCCTCATATTATTTTTCCCAGAAGCCCAAGGAGCAGAAACTTTGTACAACAGATGTTCCCGCTCAGCTTTCCACCAAATTACGCCGCCTCAGAGCTCAGAGCTACGGACCAGAACCGCACTGATACTGAGAAAGGCAACAACAGCACATCAGGCTGAATAAAGCAGCCACATCATGAAATCTGGCCCGCCTTTGAGGGCAAGAGATGAAAGACAGACTGACAACGCATTGGAGACTATAAAGAGATCCTCAGGCTTTGGTCTGCACAGCTGCCTCTGGCTCGGCCCCTGCACTCATGAGAAGATACCCAGCTCAAATTGTCTTGCGTTTGATTTCAGTGCAGGAAGAGACCATATATGGGCATGGAGTAGAATAGAAATATACAGTTAAATCAAAGTGCATAATAGAGCTGTACCAGTCAAATAAAATTTTAATCAATCGAGAATTTTTTAGATCTAATAGTTTAAAATCGGAAATAATATGCAGTAAAAGTATATGGTTTGGAGGAAGAAATTGGTTATATTAAAAGTGCTGATTTAAAGTCATGACATAACTTAGTCATGACATAATAGACCATATTTATAAGAGATCTGTGACATGTCTTAACATGTGAGTAATGCATTAACTAAACAGACATAATAATAATATTCTTCAAATATATTCAGGAATAAATTGCCTAATAAATATATAGTAAATATCCAATTGTGTTTGTTTGCAGGAGGATACAAGGTAAATAATACTCTTTGTAATTCTATAAAGCAAGATCTATTTAAGCGCCTTTTTATAACTGGGTTTCACTTGGCATTTAGAAAAGACATTTCATCCATCATTGTCCTTCATATTCTGATAAACTGCTGCTGCAAACCAGACTAACACAGCGCCACTCTGAATACT